GGCCAGCTGTGTTTCTGCAGTGCTGTCTCAGCCACCTCATCCTCTGAACAGTTGTGGATTTGTGGCTTCAACTCGTTCCTTCAACCACAATTTGGGAAGGGCTGCTGGGGTGTGTGATAGACACTAATCCCAGAGCAGGAACAGCCCACAGCCATGTCCAATGAACATGGACAATTGCCTGTGGGTTTAATGCTGCCAAAAGGACACACAAAAGGAAGAAAGTATTTAGCAAACAGGAGAAAAGGGTGTGGAATGGATACATGGGGGACAGCTGGTCTATGGGCTGTCACTGAGATATTTTCCAACTCCGTGAGTCCTGCAAGCACTGGGAATATGACTGACTGACAAAAAGGATCAATGAGAGACTATGAAGTGGCTGAGAAGCTGCTTTTGCATACAACTGATCAAAATTATTATACCATTTCAAGAACACTTTGCATTTTCCATGAAAATGTAGTCAAATTCATGGTTGTTTTATTTTTGTCTTCATATGGCCTACCAGGAGATTTTAATTTCCTGGTACCTAAAGTTTGTCTGCCCATCTCCTTCCCTCCATCCTGCCATCCCTTTGTACCCAATACAGAAGTGCAGAAGTGTTGTTCTTGCTGCTTTTCTCTGAGAAGAGCAGCCACTAGAGGGAAAGATGCACACGAAAAATTCCCCTCAGCACCTCTGGGACTTCCTTCGTAAGTTAAAAAAAAAAAAAATCAGAACATTACCCAGCATTTGTAAGGTGGTCTGATTTATCCTTTCAGATAAGGTATATTGAATGAGATTATTTTTAGTATTGCAGTTGCATCGTACATCATGAAACACAGCCAAAATTAAGGGCCAGGAAAAAAAAATCATTGGCTAAATTACACAGAGGAGATTGGATTACCTGTTCAAACAGAGCTCTTAATTCTGTGTATAAATAGAATCCACAAATACAAGTGCACTGCAGTAGAAAATAAAGCCAGCCAACAGCCCCTAATAACCCTTAATTATTAGGAGTTTCAGTTAACATTTGGACAGCTTTGGTCTTAATTCTTTTAAGTTTGAAGAGGCAGCATGACCAAGGTGGCCCCATTTACAATTACAGAGAGCACACACGCTGTTCCAGCCCGCGCTGGCTTTAGCTGAGCGTTCTCTGGCAGCTTGGGCTGGGATTTTGCCCTGTTAAAATAGAATTACCTATCTGAATGGCAACTAATTTCCAGTTTGAGTTATTCATTTATAACAATGCACTTGTTTCAACAGAAGTCCATGACAAAAAAAACAAATCGAGCTCCTGACCTTGGCATCATCGCTCACTTAGGAAATTTTTGTACCTGAAAGAAAATGTGCTGATATTCCACGTAAGTAATAAATTATCTCACATCATCAGTCAATACAGCAAGAGAGATCTGCTGCTGTGCATGCCATAAGTAAATGTAGCTGTAAAACAGACATCTCAAGGTAAGACTGAAATCCAATGTTACTTAAAAAAAAAAGCTTGATAGTGCTATTCTACACATGGACATTTATGATTGTATATACCAGAATGTTTAATATTTGTCTCAGGGATGGGGTTTTCAAATGTCCTTAGCAGTGAGTTAACATTCTTTCCCATTTCTAAAGTTTCTCTATGTAATATATAGGTGAGATCAGAAGTCAAATACTGTATTGCAGGCAGGCAGTAAAATTCAGCAGACGGAATTTATTATTATGTTATCTTAATAAGCTGCATTGTTCTTCAAAATATACAAGCCCAGTATAGGGCCTGTGTAGCCCAAGGATCCTTCAAGGTAGATAATTTGACATTAATTTACTGCTGCAATCCCCACTTGGTTAAGACTGTGTAACTTTCCCCTTTGACCTTCTGTTTGTAACTACCTGTATCCACCAAAAATTCCCACTCCTGAGACTCAGGTTTGCCAAAAATGTGAACTGCAAGAGTTGAATTTTTCTTTCAACATTTCATCAATTTTTTTAACATAACAAAACACATGAAGGCACAGGGAAAACACTAAGCTTATATTGTTTGATATTCTCTAGCCAGAAGCAATATCTAAAAGTAAAAATCAGAACAATTTTTCTATAGAAAAAAAGGTGCACTATTAATGTTGGGAAACAACCTGGTTTCATTTGATCTAATAAAATTACAGAAGGTTGAGGCAGGAATACACACAAATGATCACCTGGCTGTTGTCAGGCACACACCCCAGAAAGCACAGGCACTCTGTGGTGTCCATCCCTGGCCTGGTGCTGCTCTCCCCTGGCCCCAAACCTGTCTGTGCCATTTAATGTATTTTTTCTGCTGAATATGACCTGCACAAGCAAGTGGCATGACAAGTCCTGGGCCTTTTTTATTCTACAGTGTGGAGCATTACAGATAATTCTGCTGGATGGCACCCTAGCAGTGCATCTGCTCCTGCTGTGCACTCTCTCAGTGAACTCAGCCTGCTCCTGAGATACCTTAATTGCTTGCTGTGGAAGCTGAAGGTGACACCATAAGCAAATCACCATAAATACATGCAAACCTCTCTTACAACAGCAAATCAGATGGTTCTAGATAGAGCACAGTATGGATCAGCAAGGGCTGTTTCACTATAAATCTTATTTTCATACATCTTCAGACTTTGTACAGAATCCCAGCAGATGCTTGGGAAGACAAGTACCTTAAGTTTATATGGGCATATATAAACCCCTGAATTGCTTTTTGCTGCTTATAGTTCATAAACTAATATAGCAGTGAACAAACTGCATTTTCAGAATTGTGAACAAACTGCATTTCATATAAGTTATCCAGTTATGGACCAGACCTTGCATTTCTTATTCAAGAAGAATTAAATCAAAAGGGAAGTAGTCTGTGAAAAGGTGAATTTATACACAGCAAGCTAAACTCTTGCTAAATTATTCTCTTGAAGGAAATATAAAGGTTTCCAGTAGATTTCTCTGTACCTGTTTTCAGAGAAGCTTATGCTTAGAGACTTTCTTCATGAGTGAAGCTGAAGTAAGATGTGTAGTAAGACTGAGTTTTAAGGATGATTTTCCTAAAATAGGATTAAGGCTCACTGACACTGTAATGGAGGGCAGGTAATGCTGCTGCTGCTTATTGGCTAAACCAGATTTTGGTTTCTACATATAAAAGTTCAGTACCTATGAGCTTTAAGCTTTGCTCCTGTAAGAGGTAAGAAAATGGTTATTTTCGTGTCTCCATAGTTCTTTTTCTGGTACAAAATAAGCAACCCTCTCGTGACCTGAGCAGGATAGTAACCAGTCCTGAAGTGGTGCTTCAGGGACTTAACGAGGATCATTCAATTATTTTCTTCCCCTCCAGATTATTTCCAAGATGTTTGTTTGGTTTTTTTTTTTGTTTTTTTTTTTTTTTTTTGCATTTTGGTTTGGTTTGGGTTTTTTGTTTTTTTTTTTTGGTTTGTTTCTTTAACCTTGGGTGAGACATTAGGGAATTCTACAAACTCATTATCTGCAGTCAATCTGTCAATATTGAGGTCAGGGCAAGTTACCACACAATGGACAGTTCACATATTTTTACCACATCCACAACAGTTTTTTCTTATAAACAAACATGAAAGAACTCTGCTTGACAAGTATATCTATTTCAGACTACCACCTACACATTTATTGCAGTTTGTTAATACCTTGACACCATTTCCAGTGTATCTCAATGACCATTGCCCTCTTGGATCTCAATGACACTGACTAACAATGCAGTTTGTAATTAGATGGGGTAACGGTCCCTGGCCCTCTGTAAGCATCTGGATTTGCAAATTTCCACTCCTAGATGGAGAGCTCTTTGCCACACATCACTAATTATGCCACCACGTGCTTATGTATCAGTCCCTACACCCTCCTGCTGAGCCCCTCTTCTTTGTGCCCAGTACGAGTCAGAGACTGTTGTCAGCACAGAGAGAATCAACACAACTGCCTAGCAGTGCATGTGACATTTAATGAAAATGAAGTCAGGTCCAATTTGCATGGCAGGTGTTAGTTTATTACAGCAGAGCTGCAGAAGCCGGGTGCCACAGTGCTAGTCAAGTGTGCAGGAATGAAAGACACTGACAAGGGTGTCTGGCACAGGAATCCTGGCACCCCCTTGTCTGCCTGCCCACCTCAGGTGTGAGGTAAAGTGACAAATTTGTTCATTTTTCCAGGTGCCCCTGTTCTGGTTCTTTCTGCTAACCCCATCCACCGAGTCATTGGAGGAGTCAAGGAGCTTGGGGGTAGGAGGCCCACCCAGCCTCCTGCCAAGGGGTCACCACACCAAACAACTTCCAGCTCTGGCAGACCCTCCTGGACTCAAATCCACAAGCTGCACTTAAAGAGCTCTAGAGCACAAGAGAATTGATTTCTGTCATGCACAAGAAGTGTCTTACAAGAGAAATACATAAATATTTTTTATGAGTCGTGTGTTGAAAGGACATGTATGTTCCTTTGAGTCAAATATTCAAAAAAATTAAAAGGGCAGTGTCATGCTCCTTCCATTTCCATTTCTCCAAGTTATTTCCCCAAATGACAAGAATGCAAAATGCTCATTTTCACTAATTTTTATTTGGTTTGGCCTTATTAGTACCCCTTAGGAATATAAATTTTATTTTAGAGTTTCTGATTCTGATTTCAGACTCAGTTAAGACTGTCAGCAGCAACAATACATTGTAAATCTTAAGCTCATGTCTTGAAGTAAAACACAACACACCTTCTAACAGGCTGTGGCTCCGCCCACTCACTTTCTACTTCTCAGGAGGAGTTTTGTTTCTATTTTATTATCTCCCCAATTCCTTTCTCACCACTGTTCTTCCCCTATATTCATCTTGCCACTACACTGGTTTCCAGACTGCTTCGCTGCTGAGCATCTAACGCGCGGGGTATTTTGACCCTCCCTGGGAGGCTCCTGATGCCATTGGTCCCCGCTACATGCCGTCCCCTCAGAGCCAGCCAGTACCAACCCACGGGCAGGCTGATACTTCACAGACTGGCTGAACAACTTTACAGACACTCATTTAACTTAGCAGGGCAGCTATATGAATAAAGTTTTATTTATGGCAGTTTTCAGAGAGAGAGATCCCAGGCAAAAAAAAAAAAAACAACTTACGAATCACACAATTGGAACAGCACAATAAAATAAAGTAAAGCATTTACCAACATTTATAATGATTTGCACTGGAGACCAGTTTTGGATGACATCCAGTTTCTCAGAGAAGACGCTACAGACTCCATAAAAATTTTTATCTCTGAAGTTTAACTTTGTAAACAGATCTGCCAGTTAGAAAATAACTCTGTTCCAGTCGTTTGTTTGTAATCTCTTCATTTACAATCCCGGGCGATGATTTTTTGACAGCACATCCAGAACGAACACAGGTCAGACGTTCACCGAGACAAAGCAATCCTTGCACTTTAGGAAACAACGAGGACCCTCAACCCGCGCTCCGGGCTGTCCCACGGCGGGGCAGGGCACGGAGTCCCGGCCCGGCGGGACGGGCCCTGGCAGCGGGGCGCTCTGCCGGACACAAAGGCTCTAGACGTTGTCGGAGCTTCTTCCCCGGAACCCTTGCGGTTAGCTCCTCCCCGGGATGCGAACGAGGCGGCTGAAGAAGACAGCGGAGCCTGACACTGCTGAAAGGGGGACCCGTGCCATCCCATCCCTCGGTGCGCTCTCCGGCGGAGGGGCGCGGGGTCACAGCCGGTGATGCTCTGGCTGCAGGGAGGCGGCGGCAGGCCTTTGCCCCGCCGGCAGCCGGTCCCTTCCAGCCTGCCGGGCCCAGCTGCACCGCGGAAAGCCGCGGCCCCGCTCCGCCCCAGCGGCCCTCGGCCCGGCTTTGCCCGACGCCCCGGTCCGAGCTGCTCCATGGGAGTTCTCGAGCCCCGCCCTGCCTCAGCCCCGCGCGGAGCCTCCGCGCCCCGGCGCTCCTACCTACGCGGTGCGGTGCGGTGCGGTGCGGGCGGCTGCCGGGCACCTGCTCCCGCGCCCGNNNCCCGCGCCGTCTTTGTGCTCGCCGGCAGCCCCGGCAGCGCCGCCGCCTCCCGCCGCCTCCCTCAGCCCCGCTCGGCGCGGCGGGCGGCTCCGCTCCGCTCCGAAGCGCTCGGCCCCCGCTCCGCGCCGCAGCGCTCCGCGCTATGTGTGCCGGCGCTCCCGTGCCTCCTCGCGGCCGCTTCCCACCCGGCGGGGCGCGCTCGGCCCCGCTCTGAGCGCGGCGGGGCAGGGGAGCGAGCGGAGCGGAGCCCGGACGGTGCCGCCCGGCGCGGAGCGAAGGGAGCGCGGCGCCATGCGGGGCTCGAGGCTGGGACTGGGGCTGGGGCTGCTGCTGGGCGCGGCGTGGGTGGCGTGCGGGCAGAACGAGACGGAGCCCATCGTGCTGGAGGGCAAGTGCCTCGTGGTGTGCGACTCCAACCCCACCTCCGACCCCACCGGCACGGCGCTCGGCATCTCCGTGCGCTCCGGCAGCGCCAAGGTCGCCTTCTCCGCCATCCGTAGCACCAACCACGAGCCCTCCGAGATGAGCAACCGCACCATGATCATCTACTTCGACCAGGTGGGGCGGGCGCGGCGCGGCTCGGGCGCTCCGGGGCGGCGGGGCTCGGGCGCGCCGCCGCACTAATTATGGCGCCGCCCCGCGGGGCCCTGCCCGCGGGAGGGGGGCGCTGGGAGCCGGGGGGCAGCGGGGCTGGGCGGCTGCGGCCCCCCGTTGGTGCTGACGGTGCCCTTCCCTTACAGGTACTAGTGAATATCGGCAGCAACTTCGACTCGGAGCGGAGCACTTTCATCGCGCCCAGGAAAGGGATTTACAGTTTCAATTTTCACGTGGTGAAAGTGTACAACAGGCAAACCATCCAGGTCAGCCCCGAGCGCCGTCGCCGGGCTCCGCGGGCACCGCGGGAGGGAGAGGACGGGTCGGCGGCCCGGCGGGGACGGGGCCGTGCGGGCGGCGGGGCGGGTCGTGCCCCTGAGCCGCCGCCGGAGCGCAGACCTGCGGCGATTCTCCGCTCGGGGGGACGGTGCCCAAGGGGCCACGAAGCCCCACCAGGCCTCCGCTCGGCCCCTCTCCGCATGAGCCATCCCGGGATGGGAGGTGGTCGGCCGCCTGCGGCCCCCTCCCAGCTTGTCCGGGCCCTCGGACTGCCCAGTGCCGCGGAACGCTGGCGGGAGCATCCTTGCACAGTGCCCGTAGGAACAGCCGTCCCTGGCAGGCTTCTCACCCACTCTCCTGTGGCAGAAGGTTTCATAGGGATTTGGGGTTCAGGGAGGTGCCTATGGCATGGAAACGATAATGAATCTGTGCATGTCTGTGCAGCTACCCTGTATGTACCTGCTTTTTCTATGGGGTTTGATGCATATGCTGCTCTAGGTAGGGTTAATAAATTACCAGCCTGAAGCCAGGTAGTATAATCAAGACAGGAAATCTGACTGTATAATGATGTACTTTGCAAAGATGTATGGACAGCCATATAGCACCGTTCTGGTGCAAGTGGCTTAACACCTTTAGATTGGGCAGGTAGTGCATTATTAATGTGGGGTGTGCAGTCCCGGGATCATTAACGTGAGCTTAGCAGACCTTATTGACTGTGTTGTGGCATATTGTCTTTGCTGCCTAACAAAGGAAAACTACCCCTTGAATACACTTCAAAGGCCCTGACTCCGGCGGCTGTGGCTCTGCTCCTCGCTGTCTCTGAGATTTCGCATAAAGCCATCTTTCAATAAGTACAAGCAGACCTCTTTTCATAGCCTGAAAACACAGGCAGCCTATTGAAATTCTCCAAAATAGGATCAATGTCCTGCTTTATATGCACCGGGTGTTTTGATGTGGTTGTTAGGTCTAAAACAGTGGTGAAAGACTTCTTCCTTTGGAGTACATACCTTAGCTGGGCTTAGACTGGTGTTTCTCTTTTATGGGGCTGGAGTTTCAGCTGTCAAAAGAGGCCTTTCCTTAACTAAGCATTTTGCCTGTTAGGCGAGCCCCAGCGGTGTCATTGTCTGACTTTAATTGACAGAGGGCTTTGTTTTATCTTGCTCTTTAGGTGAGTTTGATGCTAAACGGGTGGCCAGTGATTTCTGCCTTTGCAGGGGACCAAGATGTGACCCGAGAAGCTGCTAGCAATGGAGTACTGATTCAGATGGAGAAAGGAGACAGAGCTTATCTAAAACTGGAGAGAGGAAACTTGATGGGAGGCTGGAAGTATTCAACATTCTCTGGATTTCTAGTGTTCCCGCTTTAAATCACTTCTCATCCAAGAAAAGGGAGAAATCTCTTACAAGTTCCCAAGTCAAAGCTGGGTTTGAAGAGTCATGGACAGCAGACTTTTTACATTCAAATATTAAAGAAGCTTAATCCTGCTTAGGTTTGTGTACATCTGCTTTGAAGAATTACTACTTATTTTTGTTGTGTTGCAGCCAACAGGCGGGAGACACTATAATTGATCAAACCCCCATTTATATTCTTCTCTCTCCTCCCACAAAATTAGTTCCCATCTCTGTGTCATTGGTGTAATCTGCCATTGTTCCCCCATGGCTTCTGCCTCACACAAGTAGACTTTAGATATTTTCATTGTCCTTTACAGCATATTTTGTAGTTTTGTTTTTAAAACATGTTAATCTTGACTCTTTCTCTGAGTTTAACTTTTAAAAAAAGAAAAAAAGCAAAGTATTTTTTGAATACATGGATGCCATGATGGAAGGGAAAATGCAATTCTTGCTGTGTACTGGCTGGCAAAAGGAAAAATTTCTACGTGAAGAACTATCCACAGCCAAGGCTGACTAGAGTATTTCAATATTTCTATGTAATTCTGAGTGATTGTGAAATTTAAGGCTGCTAAATGTTTTGATGCTTGTTTTGCTCTTGTACAACGTGGCCCAACTAAACGCCAGGAAGTATATTGAACTTTTACTATTACTCTGTAATATATGTGTGAATATTGAAAATTAATTTTTGCTTTAATTCAATAAAGTTTAAATGGGACTTTTATTTTTCTTAACCGGAAATAAGGTTTCTCAATGCAGGTAGGCCGGGGGAGGAGGCTCGGCGGGGTCGCGGGGCTGCTGCAGCGGGACCGGCTCGGGGCTGCGGCCCCTGGCCCCGCAGCTCCCCCGCACGGGTCCCGCAAGCCCTGCGGGCGGTGCCGGCAGCCCGAGCGGACCCGCCGTCTATAGGAGGAAGTTCCACGCCGTCTCTGATATCCACTTATTTATAGCATTTATCTGTATTATATTCTCTAAACCAGATCGCATTTTCTACGGCTGCCTAAAACCACCTGACCATGTGCACTCGAGGCTGGTACTATTGATTCGCTGGTATTATTTGTTTACCGTCTTTTGAAGATATAAATGCTATAATTTTGCAGTACTCAAAGAGATTACTACTTTTATTAAAAGGTGCGTACCGAAGATTTCGATTGTATCTAAACTTTAATGTGAAATAAATCGGTGAAACGAGCCCCGGGCTGTGTGCGTGGCGCGGCTGGCGCGGGGCTGCCCCGGCTGCGGCACCAGCGGAGCCGCGCGAATCCCCGGCTCCCGGGAAGGAATTTAATTAGCTCCAAGAAGGGGGGGATTAATACGAGCACAATAAGCAACGCTTCTCGCTTTATTCACAGGTTCTGCCCTGGAAACAGACCGGCGGGGCGGGCGGGGACGCGCTCCGCGAGGGGCGGCGGTGGGGAGCGGGGTCGGCCGGCGCCGGGAATGGCCGCGGCCCTTGGACTCCAAGTGGAATACAGCAGTCTGCTGCCAGCTCCTACTCCTCTGTCACCCCGCGGCGCAGGGGCCAAAACGCCTTCTGGGCCCGCGGTTGCCGCCCGGCCCAGGTCGTGCTTCGCGCCCCGCAGGAGCAGGGGAGGCGCGGGCCGGCCCTGCTCATCTGCCAGCAGCTCGCCGGGAGCCCCGGCACCTGCCGAGCTGGCCAGGAGCCGTGCGAGGGGACAACTGAGACCTGTGGAGAAGGAATAATGACGGAAGGCACCCGGGCTGCTTTCACCTGGAGTTACAAACTGCTCAAGACAACCACCACGTCGCATTCTCCGGCCGCAAGCTCCTCTCTCAACGCGAGACTCTTCATTACTGTCCTGAAGCCTCTCACACCGCGCCGCCTCCCTCCCGCCCGGCTGCCAGCCCCGTGCCCCTTCGCGCCCTCCTCTCCAGAGCGCCACGGCCAGGGCGAGAGAAGCCGCCCTTGCCTCCCGTGACCGCGGGGACTGGGCAGTGCGGGAAAACAAAAAAGGCGGGGGGAAATAACAAAAATTACGAGGTTGCAAGAGAAAGGAAGGCGGCCCTGTGACCTCCCCGCCTCATCGCGCCGGAGCCAGGCAGCAGCTCCAGGCTGGGCCCGCCGCGGGGGATCCCAGCGATCGCCGCAGGTGCTGGTGCTGATGATGCTGATGCTTGTCTTTTGTTTTTTCCTTTTCCCTCCTCTCCCTTAACGCGAAACAAATAAACCCGCCACCTTCCGCTGAAAGTTTTCCCCTGGTTCTGAGCGTCTCATTAATATTGTGCAGCTGGATATTACATTACTCCGATCGCAGCAAATCGCTGCTCTGCGGCTGTTATAAAACGCCGCCGTGGCTGCTGGAAACAGCCTGGTCTGCTCCGCGGCAGCGCAGCGAGCCCCCCCGCCCCGCTCGGCGGTGCTCCCCTCAGCGAGCCCCGCACCTCGGGCCGCCCGGAGGCCCCGGGCTGGGGCGGCAGCCACGGCGTCCCGGCTGAGGAGGTAAAGCCGCCACCGCCCCCAAAGCCCCGTGGCGCTCGGCCGCCTGGCCGGCCCGGGGAGCCCTTGCCCCTGTCCTGGGCGAGGGCCCTGGCCCGGGACCCCGCCCCGGCTCCCTGGAGGGGCGGGCGGGCCCCGCTGCCTCCCCGCCCCAGCTCGGCCCGGAGCTCCCCCGGCCGCGCGGTTCGGAAGCGCGGGCAGCGCGTCCGAGCGGCGGCCGGTCTGCTGCCCGGTGATTTACTTCAGCAGACACGTTGTGTTTAAAAACAGCCCCTTTTTGCCATCCCTGCGCCCCCGGCGGACAGGGAGAGGAAGGCCGCGAAGGTGCCCCCGATCAGGCTGGAGGCCGAGGGAAGCCGCCCTTGCCGAGCTCTCCGGGGCCGGCGCTGCCCGGCGGGGCAAACGGCGCTGGGCTCCCCAGGCCAGCCGGTTGCAGCCATCGCTGTCTCTCCGCGTGGCCCGTGCTTTGGGGCTGTGTTTATGGCGGGGATGTTAAATGTTAAATGAGCACCTGGTTGCACCTGCTCGGAGCTCGTTCTCATCCAGAAAGCTGCCCGCACCTGGGCGGGCGAGGCAAGGCCACCTTTCTGTCTGGGCAACGCTGGACCCTGCGAGCCGGTCCTGGGAGGAGAACGGGCTCCGAGGGGGTGACCAAGCCCAAGGAACTGGACGTGACATTTTAAGCGGCGGAGCCGGACAAACTGGGGGATCTGGCTACGGGCACCGGTGTCCAGGCTGCGCAGAGCCGGAGACAGAAAAGGGCCTGGATTGTCCGGCAGCCCGGCCACGGCCGGTAAGCAGCGGGCGGGAGTCACGAACGCCCCACCACCGAGGGGGCCCTCGCAGGGAGGCAGTGTCCCCTCAGGGCTCCGGCGGCCTCGTCCCCGGCCCCCGCGGCCGTGGCACTGCTGGGCTGCTCCGGGCTCGGGGCCGCGCTGCCCCCAGCCGCTGCTCTGTACCCTGCTTTAATGCGTTTTCAGTTGATGTATGTAATGTCTGATTGAATTTATAGCTGATTAGCTTTGAGCATGAGTTTACACAACAAGAAATTATGTTTCATTCAGTTCATTAGCATGTCTAGTGTTTGCTTTATGAGCATATCGCTAATGGTAATGACCAATGTTGATTGATTTCTAATGTGAATATAATTACACAATGTAGGGGAATTAAAGGGAGAATCCACATTTTTAATTGTTGGGTTTTTAGGGACGGCGTGTGGGGGCGAAGGGGGTGCACAGGGAGAAACAAACCAGCTCTCTTCTGCGCAAACGATGAGAAGGTACAGAATAATGACTCCAGCAGGAGATGGGGAGTTTGGTCCAACAGAAAAACAAGTCAAATGCAGTTAACTCGGGGAATAGTTAATGCACACTCGACATAATTTCCCCTCATCTGCCCCCCAGGTACCTCTGGAAGCCCAATAAGTTCGTTTGGAAGCGGCCGTTCCCGAGGAGCCGGCAGAGGCAGGGCTTCGTGCATGGCCGGGCAGCCGGCTCCCCGCGCCCCGCCGGCGGCTCCGGGGCAGCGCCGCTCCGAGCGGAGAGCCGCGCCCTGCCCGGGGTCAGCGGCGGCGGCTCGCCCAGCTCTGGAGCGGCAGTGCCGCCCCCGGCAGCGAGAGCCCTGCCCGCATCCTTCCTGCGAGCTGGAGACGGAGAGCGGCGAGTGCTGGAGAGCCCCGGCTGGAGCCGTGCGCTGGGCTGCAACAGGTACGGGGAGAGAGCGGGCTGGCCGGGGGGTCAGAGGCTGCGAGAGTGCTGTGAGGACGTTGGAAGCAGCTTGTGTACTCCATCTGGTGTCTGTGCTTCTGAGGGTGACCTCTGAGTGTCCTTTCCACTAAAAAGGAAAGGTGGCCCGGAAGGGGAGAGATCAGGGTTTTGCTGGAGGCATCTCCAGTGGGATGTGCAGAGGGAGAGCAGGAAGGCTCAGGTTCTGAGGAAACTCTTGTAGCGTAGAAATCCTGGGTGGGATACCCACACTTGTGGAGCTGTTTTAGTTTCACCCTCAGATAGGGTCGGTGGGTGAAGTGTGGTGTGTATTCTGCCAGCTAAGAGTTGCCAAAAGGCCTCTGTTGTTGGTTGCCCAAAAAGAAAAAACGCCTTGTGGTTTTTTTGGAGAGTGAAACAAGCTGTGTGCCTTGCATGGGAGGAGAGGGCTCGGGCAAGGCTGGCAGTAATCAGTCCCTGTGCCTTGGGGCACTTGCTGAAAATCCACTGTGGGCTGGAGGCAGTGATGCCTGCAGTGTGTGCGCTTCACCTTCTGCTAGTACCTCCTTCTTTCCTTCCTGCTGTATTCCTAGGATACAGGGCTCTGGGGTTCCTCTGCTCCAGTGGTCCAAAGTCAAAAGCAGTGTTGATCCCAGTGTGAGCAGCTGTGCACATCTGGGTGCAGAGCATTCTTGCTCTCCCCTGTGACAAGAGCCTTTTGTTGGACAAGAGTGGAAGGCAATGCTGTTGCCTTTGTGCAGCTTTATACAGCTGGGGAGATGTGGTGTCCCATTTCACCAGTAGCACTTGGGTTCCTACAGTATGGGATTCCTAAAGTGAAACAGTTGTTCTGAACTCAGGAGGTATCTGGGATTCTAAAAAACTTGGTTTGTAAAATTTTTCTTGGGGAGGGAATTGTGGAGCTGTTGGAGAATGGGTCTAACATTGCGTCAGCATGTAGATTTGAAGAATATACCCAAGGGTCTCCTGCCTCTTGTGCCTTTATCATTAACAAAGACGGGTTCAGACTTAGTCATGAGTCCTCATGCAGAGTGCTGCTCGTGGCACTCCTGATGTTGGTGACCTTCTAATTGACTGAAATTCTGTCAAGCTATCAGAAAAAAGAAGACCTGAGAAAGAGATGTTGGAAGAGTTTGAGCAAAATGAAGGCAAAAGATGTGAACAATTGTCATTCACATTAGTAATTCATGTTGCAAACAGTATGTTCGAAGAAGTATCAGGGCTTCAGCTGCAGTTATATTTCCAGGTTTTGTTTTTTTTTGTTGTGTGGTTTTTTGTTTTTTTTTTTTTTTTGTCTACACAACACTTATTCAAGGACTAAAGGTTTACAGGAGGACTCTTGCTTTGTTTGCAGTTAATAGTCATCCAGCTTGTAGTGGAAATTCTCACTGCATTGTTGGGCTTCATGCTAATAAATTTTAATGTGCTTTCAATGTTTTGGGCTTCAGGGTCATCCAAGTCAGGGCCATCCTCCTTGAGCTGCTTCTATACTGACAGTGTTTTCCAATTTTTCCAGTAGTAGCAACCCCTTTAAAAACATAA